CCACTTTATAAACTAGAGGATGGAGCGGAAGTGGCACCTAAATGCAACTATTAATTATAACACCATATTACAGTCAATGTTGTTTTTGTGGAAAGAAGGAAAACAGGATGATATGTTGTATATTGATGTTGTTTCAGCATCTTGGAGGGAAAAGGTACGGAATTAAATTGGCCCCTGACTGAGCCTTTGATGTCGGCATTAGAAAAGTAAAGGCTAGAGAAACATAAAGGAAGTGTTAAAAGGTTTGTTGAAAGTGTTAAAGGTATTCCAAGTTGAATGAGCAGGGAAAGGTGATGTAGGCATTATCTAAGTAACAGTCTAGAAGTTTTGGTATATTTGCATATTTGCTGTGGTGTTTGTTCAGTTTCCCAAGCATCGGGGAGGGGGGAACAGCCTGCTCCACCAGGGGCCTCTCCAGCGGCCGCAGGGGGGCTTTGGCTCCAGCGCCTGGAGTGCCTCCTCCCCCTCCTTCTGCACAGACTTTGGTGTCTGCGGGGGGTTTCTCGCTCTCCCAACTGCTGTTGAGCAGCAGGGTTTTGTTTGTTCTTTGTTTGTTTGTTTTTGTGGATGTGCTCTCACAGAGGCATGGACTGTGTTGCTATGGCTTGGGCAGCAGTGGGCCTCTTTAGGGCCAGATGAAATTGTCCCTTATCTACCACGGGGAGGTTTCTGTTTTGTTTTGTTTCTTTTTTTTCACGGGGGCTGCCACTGCAGTTTCCCACCCCCACACCCGTCACACACCTCGAACCTTGCCATCAAACCCAATATACTGGGGCAGCTAAGTCATTACTGACTTGTAAAGTATCAGGGATTAAATTAACTAATGAAACCCTAAATGTGATGGAGGTAGAAGGGACTGGGATAACAGTGCCACTTTTGGGGGATACCAAGCTGAGACTAGGGGATAAAATGATCACTGGGCAATTATTGTATGTATCCAAGGCAGAGACTAACTTGTTGGGAAGGGATTTGATGATTAAATTGGGCATTCAACTAGTAAATTGTTAGACTGGAATAACAGTGTTATTAATGGAGTACTCTCTGGCCCTGAGAGCAAACATACATTTATATTCACCTCTGACTGGAAAGACCCTGAAATGGGGGCGGAAGCAACAATATAGGTGGACAATTTTACCTCAGGGGTTTACAGGGCCACCTATCTATTTGGGTAAATTCTAAAAAAGATTTTGGAGCAAATACAACCTCCCAAGGAGGTATTAATGTTACAAATATGTGGATCATTTTAAGGAAAATCGATACTCCCTGATGGGAGAGAAATGCTGAATAAAGTGATAATAAGGCAAATATTAACTGTTTTACATCAGAAGAGTCATTGGGAGGTGCAAGCAATGTGTGATGTTGTTCTAAGAAAGCATGTCTGTGTAGGAATATGTATTTTAGGGAAGCACACATGCAGAGGATGTACTATATGTCAATGTGTAAATAAAAAGGTCTTCTGTAACCTATTTAGAGGGGGACGGGAGCCAGGGTTTTGACCTTTCCAAAGTATACAGGTAGACTTTACTGAGTTACTTGTTTGTCCTAATTGACCACGTGACTGAATGGGTGTAAAGCTTTACTGCAAGGATTAAAGCAGGCCTTAGAGATTGAGTGGGATTTTCACAGCCCCTGGCACCCCTCCTCTTCTGGAAAGGTAGAGCGAATGAATGGTGAAATTAAGAAACAACTAACAAAACTTGTGCTGAAAACTAAGGCTTCTTGGGTAAAATGCTTACCTCTTGCACTGTTAAACATATGGACACAGCCCAGAACTGATGTAGGAATTTCTCCTTTTAAAATGCTATATGGTATGCCCTATGACTTGGAATTGCCACTTGATCACCATCAATTCTAATTAAGACTTGGAAAGAGACTGCTTTAACACCACGATGGGGAAGGCCCTTATGTTGTTTTGCTTACCACAGAAACGGCTATTCGAACTGTGGAGAAAGGATGGACGCATGCCAGCCGTGTGAAAGGACCAATCCGGGAAGGTAAATGGGAGGCAGCTCCAGGCCCTGACGACTTGAAGCTGACACTAAGATGGACTCGATAAGTATTGTATATTATCTGTGTATTGTGGGAAGGGGAGGAGGCCCTGTTTCAAAGGCTCCCTAGTAGGTTCCCCTGAAGAACACTGCTGCTGCCAAGAAGAACCGATACCTTGTAGTTCGCTGCAACCGAACTGACAAGCGAGGCAGAGAAGTGAAAACGGTGGGGGACTGAGGGGCCGACAATTTAGATGGGCTCTGACCACCTCCTACGATACATGGGAGTCAGTATCATCATTTTGGTCAGCTATGGGTCTGCGCATCCCCATCAGCCTTTTAAATGGAGCTTGATCAGATGGAAGGATCAGTTCATCATCCAGCAAACAATGACAGCGGGTGCTCCCAGTTTCCGCATCACATTATGTGACCTGGTGTTAGTGCAGCCATGCTTTAACCGATCAGGATTTTATTTCTGCCCAAGTTCTAACCCAGGAAAGGGGTACTGTAATTACCCAAACATGTATTATTGTGCATACTGGGGGTGTGAAACCATTGCTACGGACTGGACACTCGGGGCTGGTCGGAATAAATTCTTACAAGTGGGATATGGGCCGCAAAGTTGTAACCAACAAGCAGGTCCCTGTTACAGGTGGTGAGGGCATGGTATAGGGTATACAGGAACCTTCCATGGAAATAAAGAAATTTGCAAGGTTCTATATATAAATGTAACAAACTTGGACTGATACTAGCTGGGATACTAGGAAAATGTGAGGTGTCAGATTTTACAAACACAGAACAGATAGGGGAGGACTCGTACTAATAAAAAGGAGGATGCTGATAGGCCCCAGGCAGTAGGACCAAATGAGGTATTGTCAGAAAATGTCCAGGGAATCCAGCCTGCGGAAAATACTACAGTGCCAACCCTCGGCAGCCCTACGAGCTCAGGTAAAGCCGAGAATGATAACATAGCTGAGAATAACATATGGGGGGGTCATGAATGCCAGCTACCAATTATTAAACAAAACAAACCCAAATGTAACAAAACACTGTTGATTATGCTTTAGTATAAGGCCTTCATATTATGATGCTATCGGGAATCCTGGGGAGCCCTCCCGCACAAACGAGAACAACCCTCTACAATACAGTTGGGGAAAAGACATAAGGGTAACACTAACACAAGTCAATGGAGGTGGTAGGTGTGTGTGCACGGTTCCTAGTGGGAAGTGTCACCTACGTAATATCAAGGAGAATGGAAAACAATCAGCCGAGTGGTTAATCCCAGCCAACAACGCTAGGTGGGTTTGTTTGTGAGTGGGCATAACTCCTTGTCTATCACTAAAACTCTTTAGTGAGTCTCGTGATTTCTGTATACAGGTGATAATTATACCAAGGATTCTATACCACCCTGAGGATTATGTATACACCCAGACACAGTGGAAAGTCATCATCTGGAAAGACAGGAACCATTCACGGCTCTAACTTTGGCCACCCTAATAATCCTGGGAGGAGCTGGAATGAGGACCAGGGTAGCCTCATTGGTTAAACAAAATCAAGAATTTACTTCCTTATGCATTGCGGTGGACGAGGACCTGACCCAAATTGAACAATCCATCTCGGCCCTGGAAAACCTATCAGGTCTCTTTCAGAGGTAGTGTTACAAAATTTTATGGGATTAGATTTGGTATTTTTTTACAATAGGGCGGGCTGTGTGCAGCCCTGAAAGAGGAATGCTGTGTGTATGCTGATCACACTGTAGAGGTAAGAGATACAATGGCAAGACCCAGGGAAGGGTTGAAAAAAAAAAAAAGGGAAACGGGAGAATGAAGCCCGACAGTGCTGGTACGAATCTTGGTTTAATTATTCACCTTGGCTTACTACTTTATTAACAATAACAGGACCTTTGTTGTTCTTAATAATAGCACTAACCTTTGGACCATGTATTTTTAATGAATTGATTGCGATTGTAAAGGGACATTTAGAAGCGGCACATTTAATGCTCATACATGCCAGATACGAGCCAATAAGTACCAACGAAGGAATCGAGGAAACATTAGTTCTTAGTAGCCAGGCATTGCCAAGATTCAATGAACAAAATGAGTAACTAAAAGAAAAAGGAGAGATTGTAATACACAATAAATGTTTGTTCATTGTCTTTTGTATTATAAAACCAAGGAGTTCTGTTTGAGGAACGGGAGTTGTGAAAACTCCCTGCTGAAGTAAGGAGCCTGTATAATGCTTGGCTAGACACTATGAAAATTCTTTTGCTTAATGTAACAAAAAAGAGACCCCCCCCCCCCTTCTCTCCTTCTGCATCTCAGTTGCCTCTTTTGTTTAAAGACCCTGCTGCAAAGCTCATGTAACCATCTCCTGATAAGTTGCTAAACTAGTGTATCAACATCCTGCCTTCCTGTCTCACGCTGGGCCAACAGTGACCAAATAAAAAAAGAAGTTGAACCACAACGCCGAGGAAGACTACGGCCTTCATCTTCACGACCACCAGAGGGACAGAGACGACCCCCTAGCAACAGTGCGCGCAGTCGCAGAATATACCAGGATGTGCTGCGTAATCCCGGAATTACCAAGATATAAAAAGGGACCCTGGCGGGGGTGAGGTGCACGCCATTGGCGGAGCCGAGACTCCCCAGCTGCCCAGCGCTGTTTTGCTTGCTGTTGCTTACTCAATAAATTCCTTTCTATTATTAATGCAATGCTCTCTGAAAATTAATTAAGGGGGCAACTTATAAAACCACTGTGCCCTGCCTCGGGGCACGGAGCTGCAGGGTCCCCACTTTGTGATCCCTTTGCAGCCACCCCACCAAGCACCCCACCAGGACTGGTGTGGGCCCACTGCCATCGCTCCCCAAGGGATGCAAGGTGGGGACAAAACTGCATCTGCAGCAGAGAAAGGCAGTTTCGGGAGAGCGTTTTTGAGGTTTCTCCTCAACGTCAAGCACCCAGCCGAGCAGCCCAGATCCTTCTTTTACATTTGGAAAAAGTATCGGCCACACCGAACCCAAAAAGGTTTGTATTTTATTAGATTTCATGTAAATCGTTTCCAGCAGAGTTGTGCTTTTGTGGCTTTTGCTGCTTACCTGCCACACTCCCAATTTCTCTGGGGATGCTTCCGGCTTTAATTCAGACATGGGTGTCTTACCCTGCTGGCTTACACTTGAGAACTGATATGCATAGTAGAAAAGGATTTACTTTTATGAAAAGATTATAAAAAACACACATAAACTATATATTTTTTGTACCAATGCAATCAAACTAATCATCTGTTGTCCTGTTTCCTTGAACACGTTCAAGAAAGCAACCGAGGTCTCATGGTTGCACCTCCAGGGCTCGCTGGAAAAGGCTGGCAAGGGGAAAAATAGGAGGGGTGTGAGACAGGACCCCCAAGGGACCCACTCCATTCTGGGTCCCCATGAGCCTGTGGTCAAGCTGCTCAGTCTAACCCCTGCCATCTTTAAAATTTCTACTTCAAGCTGGCCACCAAAGCAAAGCAATGAACTGAATGAGTAAAAGCAAAAAAAATATAAAAGCAAAAAGATAAAAAAGAAATGCTCAAAATGTAAAGAAAGCCTCTTCGCGCCGGCCTTTTTGGTCAGCCAGGCTGTCACAAGTTTTTCAGCATATCCAGGATTTCTTGGTATTCTTCCTGCAGATCTGCAAGGAGAAAAGCAAAATGAGACAGACTTCGTTGGCCTTTTTGTTTTTTTCCAGAATGGGAATAAAATGATAATATGATTAAGTACCAATGAATGCAAACATGCAAGTACGCTCAGGACCTGCAGACCCCAGCTGTTTTAGGACACACAGATCCCCAAATCTGCCCCCAAGCCCTCTCCCACCCACCCACCACACACGCCCCGGAGAGGAGAGCTCAGCCCGTACCTGGCAGCACGCTGACCGGTGTGTCACACTGGCTGAAGATGACGCTGAGCATGCCGAGGAAATCCTTGCTGAGCTTTGTGCTCATCTGCTCCTGCAATCAGAGAGGGCGACAGCATCACTCTGATGTCATTTGCGGAGGAGAAGCTGCGCTGGAGGCCTCCTTACACAAAGTCTGCTGCAGCACTGCACTCTGAAGCCCTTGAGCTCCGGGGGTGCACTGGGATCTGCTGGGATAGCCAAGGCTGTGACGCCAGTGATGGCAGCTTTGGCACTGGCATTCCCAAAAATCTTGCTGGGGAAGCAAGAACCTGACCTGCAATACCCCAAGCAGCTGAGGAGTCGGTGAGGGGAGCCCGCACCCCCCCTAGGTGCCCATTGCCTCTGCTCAACCAGCGTGCCAGATCCTTGGCCAGCAGAAAGGAAATTCCCTCAGATAACTGTGATGAATCATGCTGTGCGTGACCGCGGTTCGAATCCGTCGGGTTTCAACCCACGGGAATGAGTCTGAGTGGCCTGGGATGAGGTAGAGGAGAGTTCATAGGAAGTCAGAAATCGGGAGACGCAGGGACCGAAGTAGGAAATCCCCACCTAAAAAACTCAATTTTTTGTTTACTAAGAGACCAAAGCTGGTTCTGGGGATAACCAGGGAAATGAAGCCAAACCAAACTCCAGCTTGATGTTTATTTTTTTGTTTTGTTTTTGTTTTTGTTTTGTTTTGTTTTTGTTTCTGTTTTGTTTTGTTTCTTTCTCGGGACAGAGACTTGAAGTACTACGCTGAGCCACTGCAAAGGTCAGGCTGGAGCAAGTCCAGGCAGCTGAAGTTGATAAAGATTTTCTCACCAGAATTTCTGACAGCTCTCACACTGGTGACGTTGCAGAACAACCTGCATCTCGCCTCAAACCGTCACAACATCCCGCAGGATCCATAAAATCCCCCGGAGCATCACAAGCGCTCTGCAGCGACCACCGGTCTGCGTGGAGGGGGGCAGCGCCTCGTCCAGCCTTTAGCTGCCTGTCACAGTTTCTGCTCACCCAGCCTTGGATCTCCAACAACAGTTTTTGCAGTTCCAGCAGCAATTTTTGCAGTGTGACTCACCGTCAGCTCCCGGAACTGGCTCATCATCCTTTCCTTCGCTTTCTTGAACATCTCCTGCTGTACCTCCACCTCGATGCTCTTTGTCAGTATGCTTTTGATCTGCTTGTACGTGTCCTTCCCACTTATCTTCTCAGCCTCTGTTGGGCAGAGGTGGGAAACATCAGACTGCTGTCAGGAGCCCGCAGCAGGCGTGGGCAGATGAGCTGGGGTGGTCTTTGGGTGCAAAGCTCACGTTGAGGCCGTGCTGCCCACGAACCTGCTGCTGGCAGACTTCTACCTCCCAGTCCTCTTCCCAGGCGACTTTTGCCATCCTAAAGAATTCCTTTAGCCAACAGCAAAACCTTCAAACTGCCTCCTTCCACAGCCCTCCAGGCCTTGCCCAGACCCAGGTGGAGTTCCCCTCCAGTACCCTCTGGCAAGGTCTCCCCTCCCCAGCCCCAGGTGCTATCTCCTTCCCAGGGAGGAACAGCCTTCGTTTGAGCCACAAGAAGTGTGGTGGGTCCCATCACGGGAGGCAGCAATGGCATCAAAATTACAAGGAATTTATGCAGGAGGCTTTGCAACTCCAATGTTTTCTTCCCTGGTTAAGAAGACTGTGACCTGCTGGACTCGAAGGCACAAATTTACTCAGCCTCCTTCAGCCAGTGAGAACAAAGCCTTCTGCGGACTCCACACACAAGCTGGGAGAATGTGCCCCAGGACCAGGCATCCAACTCACAGCGTCAGCTACACAATTAGCTGGAAAAGCAGCCTTACCTTGGTAATACGGCGTTAAGGTGCTTTGGATGGACAGCTCAAGCGACTCATAGATGGCCTTCTTTTTCAGAAGGATTTCTCTTTCGAGAGCTCTCATGATGATGTCGGTCTGCAGGAATCAGGGCAGAGCATTTCCCAGCACCTCCAACCCCCCGTTCACCAGCAGAACAAAGAAATGCTCCGAGGTGGGGAGTAGGTGGAGCACACCAGGGCTCGCCCCAACCCTTACACGGACCAGATCCGTTGCGTCTGGTCACCTGGAGTTCTCCTTTACGAGCTTCTAGCAGAGCATCCACCGAACCATCTAATGATACCCCAAGAACCAAGTGCGACCTGCCTGTGGCTCAGCATTAAAAACAATCCTGCTGCCCCCGACGCTGAATAGCAGCTACTGGTCATCAGGGGTTGCACCAGACCCCCAGCCAAAGCTGCTGACACGATGCACGTCAGACTTTTCCGCGTGCTGTACCCCCCGAGCTCCTGCCAAGGGGCTGGCGCCCACTCCCAGGGCTGGGCCAGCTACACAGGGATATCTCATTGGGTTTTCCCTGTTTCACACTCACCTCTTGTAAGAGGAATTGGAGCTTGGACTCATTCATATTCGTGTCCCTCGCAAACACCATGAATTCGCCTTTTACCACCGTGCTGAACCCATTGATGGCAGCCTGCAGACTCTTCCTCGTGAGCATCTGTTTTCTGTGTGGGTGAGACCCCAAAACTGTTAGACCCATGGGCTTCCCCCGCCTCACTTATTCTCTGCACGTTGCCAGCCAAGGTGAGCTTCTCTTATCAGAAGACACAAGGCTTCCAACTCCAGCGCAGGGATGTCCTCGCTACCTGGGCTATCTGGCTGGCTCCCTCTTCTCTGGGGACTGGGAAATAGCAAGGTATTCATTTCCTTTTTTTATTATGCCTGAACCCATGTGAAACACGGGGCAGAAAGGGATGGAGCTGCAAATGCCACTTAATTTCTCTATTGAACTGTTAATGGGGTACATCAGTACCACATGGGGCTGTGGGGAATCACAGAATATCCCCACTTGGAAGGGACCTCCAAGGGTCATCGAGTCCCGCTCCTGGCTCCACACAGGTCTGCCCAAGATCAGTAGGAGATCAGTCGCGACTGGGAGAGAGATGTGGAAGTTGCTGAGACAGGTTAGTCAATTAGAAGCTTTGCCTAAGTAAATGAACTGCAGTTGGGCATGCTTAGTTTGCCTCCGTGAGTAGTCAGTGTAATGCTAACTTAGCTTTTTGAGGGAGGAAGAGATAAAGACCCGAGTGCTTTCCAGACGAGGTTGCCTGCAGATGGCGGAGAACTCTTTTGTAGGAGTTTGTAGTTGTGTAGGAGAACTCTTTTCTTGGAGTTTCCAAGAAAATGTGGCTTGGTTCCTGCTTGCCCACCGCTCTCACCTGAATATGTTTGCAAACGTCATTTCAATTGCTGCGTAGATGGGCTCAGCCAGGCTTCTGTTGATGTTTATGCGGTGGAAGACGCGGGACACGTACACCCCGTTCCTCCTGCACACAGCTTTCAGGGTCCTGTAGAAGCCTTTGGACTTCTCGCCTATCTGCAGGAGGAAGAATGCAGCAAGTGTGAGCAGAGCCAGCAGCAGCAGTGCTGCTCCCAGGACCAAGTCCTTCACGTGTCATTTCAGAGCTGCTTAAGCTACCGGTAGCAAATGTCACAGTGAGAGAAAAGCAGGAATTAAACGATGTCATCTTTTAGCCTTTGGTGCCTCCTGCAACGTGCCTGTGTTCGCTCAGGGTGGATAGCTCTAAAGACGGCAAAGCTGGGTTGGGGTCTAAGCCTGGAAGACACTCATTTCAACTGTTTAGAAACACACCATCACTTGGTGTCCCCCCTCTATCAAGGAAAAAAGGTCTCTGCAGGATGAGCGTGCAGCTGTAGGGGCATGACGTGCTTCCTGGGACCTGGTCCCGGAATTGTAATAGTCTGACTCTGTCCAGGAGTCCTGCTGAGGAACCAGTCCTAGAAGGACTTGCTGCTTGGCAGGAGGACCCGGTGGGCTCTGGGGAGCTGGCCCGTGGCATGGCCGGCTCACCACTGTCCCTACACAGTGCACTTCCCAAGACTTGGCCAGTCCTGATGGCACGGAGCAACGTGGGCAGGCGTTTCTCCACCTGCGTTAGGCACAGCATCTCCTTAACACAACACATCTGTGGTGGTTTTTGTTTGTTTGTTTGTTATTTCCCTAGAATCAAGTTCTCCTTTCTAAGCTAAAGTAACACTGAGCAGCAGCAAGAACTTACCCTGTCTCTTACCCACAGACCTCAAAGCACCTGTCAGTGATTAATGAGTGAAACTCAGCTGATGTTGATGGCGATTGCAAGACAGAAAATGAAATAATCTTACCCAGCCTCAGAGCGTGGAGCAGACCTGCGCCACTCACCGCAAAGATATTTTCAATTTTCTTCCTGTGTGAATTTTGGGCAGACTTCACCCCATTGGTAAGAAGCAAATCCATCTCTTTAAAAATGTCCTGAGCCGTCTTCTCCAGCTTCTGGATCGTTCGTTGACACAAACGCGTTGAGCCTGTCCTGATGCGGGGCTGGACCCTGGAAAAGTGGGACGGCACATACCTTGACAAGGCTGCTGAGTGCAAGGCCAGCACACTCCAGAACTGTCCCTGGAGCATCCTGAGCAGCTCAAATTTAAGCCAAGATCACAGAGGGGGAAGCTAGAGCCTGCCTCTCACTGGCACCACGTGAGAGGGCCAAGACGATGAGGAAGATGAGGTGATAGCAGGTAATGGGGCTACAGGGCTGGCAAAGCTTGCTCAGCCTCTGCAGCTTGCTTGCTTTTTCATCCTCTCCAAAGAGAGCCAAGTGGCTAATCAGAAAATGGGTTTGGATGCAGGCCTTGGCCTTGGTGCAGCTTCACAGCTGGGTGAACCAGGCAAAAAGGGCCTTTCATGCTCCAGGGATGCTCCTCTCCTCCTGGCACTGCTGAATTCCTCCATGCGGGCAGCAAAGCCCTGCTTAGGTCACTTCAGGATAGCAAGAGCAGCTCTGCATTTGTTTCCTGAGAAGGATGAGGCTGGCTACCCGGCCCCACAGCCCCAGAAGGTACGGGATGGTGGCAGCGTGCAGGGGCTGCAGCCACACGTACCGGGTTCAGCTGCATGGTGTGGAAAACGTCCACCAGGGAGAAGATGACAAGGATCTCCCGCATGCGCTCTTGCAGCTGATTTCTCCTCACGTTCAGGCAGAGCTTCCTGATTTGGTCCCTTAGCATGGAGATTTCTGAAAGAGAAGACGAAGGCGACCTTTATTGCTTTCCCTCCACAAATGGGAATGGGTGCACAGGCAGCAGGGCTTGCAGCAGGCACACGGCCAACCCTTCACCTGTCTCCTCGATCGTGAGGACCGTGGGGTTCCAGTACTCCTTGGCACTGACGGTGAACACCAGGTCCTCCTTCTCCACCACCTCTGTGTCGCTGGGCAGTCTCATCTGAAACACACGAGCGTGCAACGTGAGCGTGCAACAGCTGCCTGAAGCAGCGCAGGGCCCTGTGCCTTCAGCTCCACATCCAACCTCTCCTCGAACACCCCCAGGGACGGGGACTCCACCACCTCCCTGGGCAACCCGTCCCAAGGCCTGGCTGCTCTTTCTGAGCAGAAATGTCTCCTCATTTCCAGCCTGAACCTCCCCTGGGGCAACTCGAGGCCATTCCCTCTGCTCCTATCACTAGTGATAGTCTGGAGCAGAGGAGGCTCAGGGCAGAGCTCCTTGCTCTCTGCTGCTACCTGAAAGGAAGGTGTGGGGAGCTGGGGGTCGGCCTCTTCTCCAGACCAAACACCCCCAGTTCCCTCAGCCGCCCCTCACAGGCCTTGTGCTCCAGGCCCTTCCCCAGCTTCGTAGCCCTGCTCTGGCCACGCTCCAGGGCCTCGATGTCCTTCTGGTAGTGAGGGGCCCAAAGCTGAACCCAGCACTCGAGGTTTGGCCTCCCCAGAGCAGAGCCCAGGGGGACGATCACCTCCCTGCTTCCTGCTGGCTGCACTGCTCCTGACACAACCAGGATGCCCTTGGCCTTCTTGGCCGCCTGGGCACACTGCTGGCTCGTGTTCAAGTGAGCATCGACCAACACCCCCAGATCCTTTTCCTCCGTACATGGCTTTCCAGCCACTCTGCCCCAGGCCTAGCACTGCATGGGGTGGTTGTGGTCCAAAGTGTCAGGACCATGGCCCATAGCCATGTTGAACCTCATCCCCTTGGCCTCTGCCCATCGATCCATCCTGTCCAGGTCCCTCTGCAGGGCCTTCCGACCCTCCGGCAGATTGACGCCTTCCCCCCAGCTTGGTGTCATCTGCAGACTTAGTGAGGATGCATTCAATTCCCTCGTCCTAAATCATCAATAAAGACGTTAAAGAGGATGGGCCCCCTGAGGAACACCACTCCTGACCAGCCGCCAGCTGGATTTCACTCCGTTCAGCACCGCTCTCTGGGCCTGGCCATCCAGCCTCTTTTTATCCCAGCACAGAGAGTGTCCAAGCCATGGGCTGCCACCTTCTCCAGGAGAACACTGTGGGAGACTGTGTCAAAGGCCTTGCTGAGCCATGTTTTAAAGGCTGTTGTGCTGTCACGGGCCAGCCTTCTCCTGCAGACAAACCCTGATGCAGGAGCCCATGGAATTGCCTCACACCTCGCTGTATTTGTACCGGTGCAACCAAGAGCAAGGGTGCTGGTGCCAGCCACAGCCACGGACAGATTGGGCAGGGAGGAGGTGACACGCAGCCCACACCTGCATTTAAAGCTACTCAGTGACAGAAGGGCTTATAACAACATGTAGGAGATCACTGGTGCAGCTGCCACAGGCCAGCACCTCTCTTCCAGGTGCCCACTAATTTGATAAACCTCAGTCACAAGATGTTATCTAGATGGGAAAGTTAGATGTTGCCATTTATTTTTTTCATGGCAAATGGAAAGAAAAGGAAGCAAATATATTTTGTGGGAAAAGGCACGTGCATAAGCATTAGCACTGTAATATGCATTTGTTACCAAAATAACAAGGTATACCATACCTGCATCTTGAGCCTTATTGCTCTGGCCTTTCTTGTTTTCAGGTCCTTTTTTTGTCTCCAAAATGGCATCGTGCGTGCTTAGATCCTGCTGGATGGCAAATGATAGAGAGTGTTATGAGAATATTCCCAAAACCACCAAGCTTCACCTGCACGGAGGCAAAGCTGCTAGCAAGCCTGCAGGATGCTGGTGGAGTCTATGCACTGGCCCCACCAGTCACAATATGCAATCAGAAAAGGAATTTGTTTTTTGGCCACTGAAAGCAGCCAGCAGGTACTTACCGGTGCATTGGGATGGTCACTGAAATGAAAGAAGAAAAGAAAAAAAGACTTTAAGTAGATATGGCAAAGCTGAACCCTAAAGCTTGTTCCTCCTTGGGGCAAATCCCCCAAGTCCTTTGGGCAGGGGGACATCAGCACAAATGCCAAAGGAAGCGGATGACCTGCCTCAATCAGAAAGACAGCAATAAAGGCACAGGGGATGGGGCAGCACCGAGCGTGGAGCTGAGGCAGAAGAGCAAAGGGGCAAAGTCAGCCTGGGAAAGGCAGGCGTGGTGATGGGGTTATGCTGTAAAGAGGGCTGAGTGCTAAGGCTCTTGAACGCATAGGAGAAACAACAAAAATATCAGTGGGAATGATTTGTTACGTGGAATGCCATTTTCCATATGCAGGGTGGGCAGGGCACGCTATGAATGAGACCTGGCAATGCCATGGGTGAACTGGCATCCAGCCTGCTCTGATGGAGGCACGAAGGCTTCCCTGTAACCCTGACGAAAGGACGGAGCTGTTCTTTACCGCATGTACTCCTCCCGGCTGATCTTATCCATCTTGGTGACCACAAAGGTGATATCGCTGCACTTGCCAATCATGCAAGCTGTAATCGCCTCTTTCAGCATGTTTTCGTGTGCGCTGGCCCCATAAACACGTTCAACATCAGCGATGACCCAAATGGATGTGCACTGCAGGATGCTCTGGGGGGAAAGAGAGGAGAGGAGAAGAGTCAGGTGGGGCACAGGAGCACTGAGGACACCGAACCAGGAGCTGAGGCCTGAAGGCGCTGCATCAGTGCCCGTGCACTGGCACACAGATGGTGGTGGCAGCCCCTACGGGCTCGGTTGTGGCTTCTTTCCCTTGCCACCAGCCCCTGCTCTTTTTGCAGCCTCTCCATCCGCCCCTGCACTGGTCCCACCTGCCAGTCACCTCTTTCCACATTTCATCCCTCTTCTTGTTGGAATCGCCCGTCCCCGGGATGTCCACAAAGATGACCCCTTCAGGCACGAAGTCAGACGCGGGAAGAGTCACTTGCACGTACTTGATGAGGGGCCAGAGCCGCGTCTGCTCCTTGTGGAGGGCGGCACCCCCCTCCCCAGGCCCCTCGTTGCCCTCCAGGTTGCGGATGTACGGGTCCAGTTCCTGGGAGAGAACTTCTGCCTGGAACACCATAAGCAAATTAACGCTCACCCTCCAATTCACGGTCTCCAGTTCTGCCAGGGGAGGTTCAGATTAGGATACGAGGCAGAATTTCTTCGCAGAGAGTGTGGTGGAGTCCGTGTCCCTGGAGGTCTTTAAGAGGTGCACGGACGTGGCACTAAGGGACAGGGCTCGCTGATGGCACTCAGTAGCTCAGGTTGGACTTGGTGACCTTGAAGGTCTCTTCCGACCTGGGTGAGTCCATGACTCTCTACAGAAATAAAGCCTCCAAGCAGCCTGAAAAGAGCAAACCGCCAACCAAAACAGCGCAAGAAGCTGCGCAAGGGGCACACCAGCAATGAAGTGTCGCGTGTGCATGGAGAAGCACCGTGGCAAATAAACACGCCGAGCACGATGCCCCAGCAGATGGCACAGCCGCAAGCGATGCCTGGCAGAGAAGCTGCGAGCAGATGTGTGCAAGCAACCACTTTCCTCTGCAAGCAACGGCCCCAGCACTGGGACAAAGCTCTGGGTGCTTCCCAGGAGGTTTGTGCAGCGCCATGGCTGCAGCTGCAGCGGGAAGAGGGATGGGCAGCCCTGGAGAGCTGCCACGTTCTCACCTCTGCCGTTTTCAGATCAATAACTCTGGAGTGGGGAATAGTGATGGCAGGCTTGGCTTTCACCAGCTCATCGTAAGTCCTGTTCTCCGCTCCTTCCCCGTAGACAGCCTGCAGCGCTTGAACGGCGTGATCTTTGTCGCTGTCATTCTCATCAGCCTCCTTGTCTGTCTCCAGGAATGCCAGCAGGCTCCTCACCTCGTCCATCCACTCCTGCCACGGTGGAGAGAGGAGCACGTTGCTCAGCAGCTCGCTGGGGCAGGAGCAGCTGCAGATGTGGTGAGCAGTGGGAAGCAGCAGCACGAGGGCTCCCAACCACAAGAGCGGCCAGAGACCTTCACTCCGGGAAGGAGCAGAGAGGAGAAAGCTGCTGTTTTCCCTGGTCTTCCCTTGGGTTTCTCCAGACGGCCCATAAAATGGGCTTCAGGAGCCTCCTGCAGACCCACCCGATCCACAGGCTGCCCCGAGAAGGGGCAGGAGCTGCTCCTTGGCTCCCTTCCACAGCAGGGCCCCAGCCGTACCTCGTTGGAGAGGAGAAAAATCTTGGCTCTGTACTCTCTGCTGCCGCAGGTGCTGATCTGAACCTGGCAGGAGGTGCAGGCGCGTGTCCCTGACACTGGGAGGAAGAAGCGCTTGTGGAGGATGGTGTTGAGCAGGGTGCTCTTCCCCGCGCCGCTGCTCCCGAAGAGCCCGATGTAGATGGGCTCGAAGTTAAGCTTGGAGCTGAGGGTCGTGATGCGGTCCCTGGGAGAACAGAGGTAGAATCATAGAATCATAGAATATCCTGAGTTGGAAGGGACCCTTAAGGATCATCAAGTCCAACTCTTGACACCGCACAGGTCTACCCAAAAGCTCAGACCATGTGACTAAGTGCACAGTCCAATCTCTTCTTAAATTCAGACAGGCTCGGTGCAGTGACCACTTCCCTGGGGAGCCTGTTCCAGTGTGCAACCACCCTCTTTGTGAAGAACCCCCTCCTTATGTCAAGCCTAAATTTCCCCTGCCTCAGCTTAACCCCGTTCCCGCGGGTCCTGTCACTGGTGTTAATGGAGAAAAGGTCTCCTGCCTCTCGACACCCCCTTACGAGGAAGTTGTAGACTGCGATGAGGTCTCCCCTCAGCCTCCTCTTTCAAGGCTGAACAGGCCCAGTGCCCTCAGCCGTTCCTCGTACGTCTTCCCCTCCAGGCCTTTCACCAT